CGGTCCCGCAGCCCCGGCCACCGGATTAAGCTGAGGACGGGAGAGGATGGGGAGGCTCACTGACGCGGGCAACAGAGGCGTGGCTTTCCCGAGACGCTATGAGACTCCGAATGGCAGCGTCTCCGCACTTGACCTTCAGTGACAGGCCTCAGGCTCCTTGGGAGGCGTTGTAGGAACACAGAACGTGCAGGTTTCTCATGAAACTGTCACTGTGACACGTGAGGTCCTGGCACCCAGGTGACAGCCGACTCCGGCTCTCAGTGTGTTCACTGAGCCCTGGTCCGACTGGTCCCCAGGCTTCGGCTTCTTCAGGGAACAGTGGGACTGCGGGGAGGGGGGCAAAGGAACCCCCTCCCCAACCAGCCTCCTCCTCCCTGCCCCCTTCTTCTGCTTTTCATGCCACAAACATGGATTGAGTGGCTACTGTGGGCCCGGCCATCTCCTAGGCCCTGGGGCAGACACGCACAGGGCACGGTCCCGGGGGCTCCTGTTCCCACGGCCGCTTCCTCCTGGGCGGCCGAGTCGGCGGCACTCGGGCCCAGAGGTCCTTCCAGTTAAACTATGAGCCAGGATGGGGGCCTGAGCACAGAAGTGGGGCTGTTTTGAGCCCAAGCACCACCCCTTAGGGGGCTCATGGCGACCCCAGGGGACGCCTCTTCCTGGAAGGGCTGTCCAGCTTTGCCGAGAGCCCCCCGAGCACCGGGAGGGAGAGACGGGGGTGGCCCCCAGGAGACAGCCGTCCACTCGCGGGGTCCGGGCTGGGCCTGGGCCTGAACCCCTCTCCAAACTGGATGCTCCTGGACGCTCACTGGGGGCGCCCCCTGGTGGCCGCAGAGCGATGTGCAGCCACCTCCCGGCTCACGCGTTTCCGTGGTGCAGCTGGGGCCCGGTCCGACAGTGACCGGCAGTGACCACGTGACTCACTGGGGGGAGTTTGCTCATTGTGCTAACCGGGCGATAAATGTCCCTCTGCGGGCCCAGCGGCTGCGGGGTCCCTTCCTGTGCGGCTTGTGGGCTCAGGTAGCTGGGTGCTCCCAGGGCCCCCGTGGGGCTGAGGCTCCAGGGGTGAGCTGTGTGCACATGGATTCTGGGAGGGCACGTGGGAGTACTTGAGAGTGTGTGAGAGTGTGTGTGTGAGTGTGTGAGTGTGAGTGTGCTGAGTGTGTGCATGAGTGTGCGACTGTGACAGGGTGTGAGTTTGCGTGTAGAAGTGGACCGAGGTGTGTCAAGTGTATGCACGTGTGTGTGAACATGTAAGTGTGTGCTTGTGAATCTGTGAGTGTGCTTATGTGTGTGAATGAAAACTGAGGGTTGTGCATGTGTGACTGTGAGACAGCATGTGTGACAATGTGTGTGACAGTGTGTGTGTGAGACAGCGTGTGTGTGGTCGCCCTCCCAGCAGTGTCCTGGGCCTGGGAACACCTTGCCTCCGGCTGTTTCTCTGCGGAGCCCCTGCCAACCGCCTCCCCCGGTGTGTCTCCCCCAGCAGAGCGCGGCGGGACCATGGGCTCCCTCGGCCCCGGACACGTGGTGGCGTGCTGCCTGCTGCTGGCCTTCGCCTGTGGTCCGGTGCTGGGCCGCGTGCCACCTGACCCAGAGGAGCAGCAGGAGCAGGAGGGCACCGAGGAGCCTCTGCTGGACCATGCTGAGAGGTGGGGCTG